CCCCCCCGTGCTCCTGTGGGATGCTCCATTCATCCCACCATTGCAGTGTTCACGAGCTGCACCTGGTACCTCAAGATATGTAGAAAAAACATTTAAAGTTGTGTCTATGGCCAAGTAGCTGATTCTCCGAATTGGCGTCGAATCTTCAGATTTGGATCTGAAGATTTGGACCCGAATCGAATTGGGGACAGTGTTCTGAATCAACAAATCAAATCACTATCCCCAATTCGGGCCAAATCTGAATCTAAACCTAATACAGCCCATTTTACGCACCCGTATTGTAAGATCTTCACAAGGGGTTGTCTCTCACTTCAGTGTTTATACGGGGCCTGGTGTAGTAAAGTCCAGATCTCTGTTGGGGCTACTGTAATGCAATTAATAATTTGTGCTTTGTAATCTGTATTTTCTAAATAAAATATAAGCGATGTAAAAATGATAACCTTGATATTAGCAAGTGCATAGAATTAAATAAGAGGCTTTGATCTGGTTTTCATGACAAATTTGACACTGAATTATGCATTCATTATGTCGTTAATAATTGTGTGTCATAACAAAATGATGTTTAAGATTTGCAGAGCCATACTACAAATACAAGTAATAATTAACACTAATAATTAATAATTAATCACTTCCATGTCTGCTGCCCAGCATGTTATTACACTGTAATAAGGTTTAGTGCTGGCATCCCTCAGGTATCACTAGGCTGTATGAACATTTTGACCTGGGGTTCCAAAACAAACGTGAGGATGTGAAGCATTTGAAAAACATCATTACAAATGGAAAAGTTTAAAATGATGGATTCCATTACAGATTGGTTTGATCTGGGTCCATGTCTAACTCACCTGTAGATCCTTGAAGGAAATCAAATGTGATTTTTTTCCCCCTAAGATGACTTTTATTTAAAGCAGGAGTGGTCAATTATTTGGGCCCAGAGGCCACATAGGCAATTTTGATGAGCTGCCGCAGGCTGGTCAGCACCCCTTACCTCCCACCCCCACACCCCAAGCAGCCCATGTGTCCTGCCACCACCACCAGCACCCAGCAGCAGCTGAGTATGTAGCCTCAGCTCACCCTGCACCTGCTAGACTCGCCCTGGCCAGAGTGAACCAGCTCTGGAGCAGCTGGGATTTATGGGCATAGCCCTGCCCCTGGCTTGCCCCATGCCTGCTCTGGACTGCCTGCCCATGCTGAGCAGCAGCGGCAGTGGTCAGGGAGAATCTGCTGCTGGGTGTGATGGAAAAATGGCCACCCCCGCTTGATGCTGCTGGGCCTTTCTTACTGTGACCACCTGGAGCCTGTGCCTGGGCTGCCTGTGGCTCTTCTCCATCACCACCATCACCAGCACCACCTCTGGACCACCCAGTGGAATAGTGGTGGCAGTGGAGAGGAGCTGCAGGGCATCCCAGGCACAGGCTCTGGGCGGCCACATCAAGAAGGACCTGGCAGTGGTAAAAGGGAGACAGCCACTTTTCCCCCATGCCCAGAGGGTGGGCCAGGGTCAGGGCTGTGCCCGTAGGTCCCAGCTGGTGCACTCTGGCCGAGGTGAGGTGTGGGGTGGGCCAAGGTCAGGACTGTGCATGCAGGTCCCCTCCACTCTTCATGCAGCTGGGGCCAGTGGCAGCAGTAGCCTGAAGGAGCTACAACCACCTCCTGGGCTGCCCAGAAATGGAGTCCAGCTGTGGATTTGCTCCAATCCTTTTGCTCGCCCAGGGGCAGTGGGATGTGCTATAAACCAAATGGTGCCTGGGCCAGGTGGGACCGAAGGACCTGCTGTGAGCCAGACAAAGTCCGTTTGTGGGCCAGATCCAGCCCACAGGCCATATTTTGCCCACCCCTGATATTTTATCATATTTTGCCCACTCGCCTTGGTAATCTTTTTCTCGCATATTTCAGTTTCTTAAGCTTGAGGCTGCTGCTGGAGCTGAATTTTGGTCTTAAACTGTGGAAAGTGAGTTTCACAGCATTGCTTGTAGTCTAGAAATGACCCATGTAAGATCTGTTCTGTTCATATTATGCAAAGTTTCTTGCTCTTAACCCTGCCACATCAATCAGGTCATCAGCTGGTCTTGCCAATCTTTTCTAGTTGTTTGAGTGGAATGTCCTACCTGGTGTGATGGGACAATCCTGAACAGTGCATTCTAGATGTCCCTTGTACATAAATCCTGATTCTAGGGAATTTTTCTGTGCACAAACAGAAATGTTGAGTATGGCAGAAATTAGATAGGTTTTTTCCTCTCACATCACATAGAGAAGGTTGGTAGATTAACTGATTTTTTTTTCTCTCCCTGTAGATGGTGTTCACAGTGTTACAGCTCTCTGCACCCTGCGGGTGACTATCATAACTGATGACATGCTGACCAACAGTATCACAGTGCGACTGGAAAATATGTCCCAGGAAAAGTTTCTCTCCCCACTACTCTCTCTTTTTGTGGAGGGTGTGGCAACAGTGCTCTCTACTACCAAGGACGGCATCTTTGTCTTTAACATTCAAAACGACACTGATGTCAGCTCCAATATCCTGAATGTAACATTCTCTGCGTTGCTTCCTGGTGGCATTCGAAACAAATTCTTTCCCTCTGAGGACCTCCAAGAGCAGATCTACCTCAACCGGACACTGCTAACCATGATCTCTACACAGAGGGTCCTGCCTTTCGATGACAATATCTGTCTGCGAGAGCCTTGTGAGAACTACATGAAGTGTGTGTCTGTGCTGAAGTTTGACAGCTCCGCTCCATTTATTAGTTCAAACACTGTCTTGTTCCGACCTATCCATCCCATCAATGGGCTGAGGTGTCGGTGCCCTCCTGGATTTACTGGTGACTATTGTGAAACGGAGATTGACCTCTGCTACTCCAACCCTTGTGGCAATAATGGGCTTTGTCGAAGCCGAGAAGGAGGCTACACTTGTGAATGTTATGAAGACTACACTGGTATGTGTTTATCTTATCTAGTATACACATGATTTATACGTTAGACCATCAGCTGAGTCAGTTTTGTATCAAGCTGAAATTGCTCGCATTCTTACCCATAGGAAGAAAGCCTCTGACATGAGACTCTGGTAGAGTGAAGGCTTTTGTGTGTCACACTTCAGTTAGGACAAGTCCCATATCTACATGAAGAAGTGATTACAAGAATCACTTACTGAAAGCTTGAACCAAAGCCTTTATAGGAAATCATTTCAGTTGCATGATTTTTGCCCAAATTGTCTCATTTCTACAGAATTATTTTATATTTCTGTTTTGGGGAGGGTAAATAAAAGTGGACTTCTTGTCCCTGGTTTCTAGTTGCACATCTGAACTATCTTCCACTGCCTCTGAATACTTAAGACAACTCTGAATGCAGCATTTTATGATCGTTCAGCCCTTAGCTTCAACAGTTACTAGTGTTTATTATTTGCATTGCAATGGCACATGGAAGCCTTGATTATAGTCCAGTCAATTATTATGCTAGGTGTTGTACAAAGAGAACAAAGAGAAGATTCTTGCCCTAAAGGACTTGTGGTATTTTTCATATGTTTACATTACTGTATGTCAGTTGCAGTATATCAATATCTTGACTAGCACAGAAGGAAATAATGTCTCTCAGGATCCAAAAAACTCCTTTGTAGAAAATACATGCTTAAAAGAGCATAAGATATCTATAAAATTACTTCTTTTTGATATCTCCTCTATCTTAGACCTTTCTCTGTTAGCCTGTTGAGGAAGTTACTTTGTCTCATAATTTACTGGACAATTAGTGAAAGTTTAAAATGCTGTTCCTAGAATAGTCTTCAAGAGTATAGACAGCTTAAATAAATGTTAAGTGGAAATCTCATTGAAGCCAATGGAAATACTTATGTGCTTAAAGCTATTCATCTTCTTAAGTAATTTTGCTCTATCTCAAGACCTAAACTCTCAGTGGGCACATCTATGCATGCAGTTAATGCAAAGCAATGAACTCTGGAGTTTATTGCACCAGAGTCTATTGCTGCCGGGCATGCTGTTTGAATGTGTGCCTGGGACCACAGCATGTTGAGTGGGGTTGGAACACCTCCAGCTGCCAGGGAGCCCTAGGAGTCAGCCTGTCAGTCCAGGAATGGGACTGCCTGGGGCCCCTAGCTGGCAGGCAGCCCCTGCACTGAAGCACCTTCATGCCCCAGCCAGCCCCACCAGTGTCTACACATGCGTTGCTGTGGAGCAAAAACTCTGCTGAGTTAATTCGTTTACTCCAGCCTAATTGCTGTACATGTATAGATGCCAAGATGTATACTGCAGAGCTAGTTAGTCAATTCCATAGTAAACATCTCAGGTAGATGTGCCCACTAAAGATTTACATTAACATTGTAAAAAAGTACTAACTTGTTCTTGATTCATAGATGTTAGGATCAGAAGGGACCTCAATAGATCATCGAGTCCGACCCCCTGCATAAGCAGAAAAGAGTGCTGGGTCTAGATGACCCCAGCTAGATACTCATCTAACCTCCTCTTGAAGACCCCCAGGGTAGGGGAGAGCACCACCTCCCTTGGGAGCCCGTTCCAGACCTTGGCCACTCGAACTGTGAAGAAGTTCTTCCTAATGTCCAATCTAAATCTGCTCTCTGCTAGCTTGTGGCCATTATTTCTTGTAACCCCCAGGGGTGCCTTGGTGAATAAATACTCACCAATTCCCTTCTGTGCCCCCGTGATGAACTTATAGGCAGCCACAAGGTCGCCTCTCAACCTTCTCTTGCGGAGGCTGAATAGATCCAGTTTCTCTAGTCTCTCCTCGTAGGGCTTGGTCTGTAGGCCCTTAACCATACGAGTGGCCCTTCTCTGAACCCTCTCCAGGTTATCCGCATCCCTCTTGAAGTGCGGCGCCCAGAATTGCACGCAGTACTCCAACTGCGGTCTGACCAGCGCCCGATAGAGGGGAAGTATCACCTCCTTGGACCTATTCGTCATGCATCTGCTGATGCACGATAAAGTGCCATTGGCTTTTTTGATGGCTTCGTCACGCTGCTGACTCATGTTCATCTTGGAGTCCACTAGGACTCCAAGATCCCTTTCCACTTCCGTGCCACCCAGCAGGTGTAGCAGACCCCTACCACCAAATCCCTTTCTCCTTGCCCCCCATGTAGCCTAACCCACAATCCTTCTACCTCCTCATCCTTGGATTCCGTCTTGATGAGGGTTGACGTATATTGCTCACTGACATAGAGCGCAGCCCCTCCCCCTTTCTTCCCCACCCTGTCCTTTCGCAGGAGCGCTAGTTCATCCTGCTTGTTCCCCATGCTCCTAGCATTAGTATATAGGCACTTGAGCCCTGCGACTGGTGCCTTTGCTGCCCCCCTGCTCTGAGTCCCAAGGGGCCCTTTGTTTCTTACCTTCTTGTTTCTTACCTGTGTCGTAGTGCTGGCCTCCCCGTGGCTTTCAGGTTCCCAATGCTCTCTTTCTTCAGGCTGGGCTGTCCTTGTGGGTGCCACATGGTTTGGTGGTCCACAGCTTCCCCCGCCCTCATCTTCCCCCCTCCCCCCCGACGAGCCTAGTTTAAAGCCCGCCAGAGGAGATCCGCCAACCTAGAAGAATAAAAATTGATAAAAATTTTATGAGTGACATAACTGCCAGGAAACAAGACCGATACTTAACTGGATGGTTAAGAATTTGTTGGATAAGTGTCTTTAAGAACATAAAAGTTCCTGCTGGCTTCTGCTTTATTACCTGTTAAAAATTCCCCGTTTTGAAATATTGGAATTTATTCCGAAGCCTGCAGTATTTCTGAAACCAGAATGTTGTTTAAGTGCATCTCTTGCAGACCAGTGTGTCCATTGGGGTGTTCATTTCATTTTTTAAAATAAAACTGAAGTAATTCCTGAGTATTTAATCTAGAACTCAATCATACTTTGTGAAAGACAGTGAAAAAACTTTCAGTAATAGCACTGGGGAGGAGAGAGTGCACCTACTCAGTATGAGTCTATGTAATAGCAAAAGCTAAGCAGAATGAAAGAATATAGAGTGAAAGGATGTAGAAGCCAAACAAATTGTTGGTGTGTATGAATTATGTTTGTGGCATGTGCAAATAGAAAACATGTGTTTACTTTCCTGAAGTACTCAGATTTTAAAGACACTTTTTCAGTCTTTTTTACAACAAAAAGGAAAATAGTAGATTATTTAAAAAAATAACTAATTTCTTGTGCATTTTAAACACCTAAACATGAAATATCTAAATAATAATCACCACAAGTATTTCATGTAGGGATATTCTAAGATTTTTTTTAAGCACATCTCAAATTAATGTATTTAAATATGGGGACAGGGACCCAAAGCTGATGACTACCTGTGATCATGTGCTGGGGGAGGGGGGCAGAGGGGAGGAGTAAAGCCAGATAATAGTTGAATGGTTTTGCAGACAGCCAGGTCCTAGTATCTCCTATCTTTGAAACTTTACACACCTAGGAGAGAATGTTTGTATACTCCAAATTCCTCCAACTACCATTCAGAACTGCAGCCTGAAAGCCTTTGAGACCAGACAGAGAAAACCAGTGCATCATTTAAGGCATTTTCCTCCATTAGATGTATAAAACTTGAAGCCAGTAGCATACATGATAGTCTAAATCAGGAGTGCTCAACCTTAGCTCATGGGCTAGATCTGGCCCCTGGAGCCATCTCCCCACAAGTCCAAAAAGTTGGTGGTGGAAGTCACTGCCCAGCTGCAAAATTTCTGCAGACTGCATAGTGTGGCCCTGAAAGCTAGATTGGGCACACAGGGTGACCTGGACCCAATTCAGGTACAAAATGGCAACACGGGGCCTGGGACATAAGGACCTGATCCCAGTGCACAGTGCTCAACCCTAGTGCATGCAGCCAGGTTGGGGTGGCACAGGGCACTGAAGCTTGGTCCAAGCATCCACGGGCACCGTGGGGCCCAATACAGTCAGACAGACGCTGGCCAAGGCTGTGCAGTGCCTTATCTGGATCTGTGGGACCAGGAGGGGGCAGCACGGGGCCCAGTTCTGGTGCACAGGGCCTGATCCAGCCTGCATACTGGCTCTGTACCACTTATTTTACCTGTAGAGCCAAAAGATTGAATGCCACTGGTCTTGATAGCTTTCCAGCTCTTTCTTTGGTGTTCTCCTGAGACCTTCTTGTCCATGTTCCTTCTTTCCTTTAAGCCCCTAGCAAACTCACTTTATCCAGTCAGTGCATAAGTCTGATATTTTTAAGAAATGTGAGTACAAAAGTTTATATATCTAAATGTATATGCTTGACAGGGCTTTATTTAAGTCAGGGCACATGGAAAATCTTTCCAGTTCCTTTGAGTGTATAGTTTACATGTTAAAAATTACAGGATATGGTGGAGATGTGGGCAAGCCAGGGAATATGTTAGATCACCGGGGTACCAGACCAGAGACAGGAGAATGGGGACCTCTACAAGGGGGACATCTAAAATCCAGGAGACAAACTTTAGCTTAATCATTGAAGCACTGCTATATCAAGCTACAAAGACAGAGTTTTGTATTTGTATATCGTATTTGAAGTTTGGGGAAAAAATATTTTGCTGCCAGTTTCTCTATGGGTGATTTATACTACAAAATGCATCATACAATCCATGTTCCACTGAAAGCAACTGACAATGTATAAATTATATAAAGTATTAGGAAATATAAAGTACATTTTAAAACCAGGTAATTGGATTAAAAAATATTTAAATAAAAGTTGTTATGACCAGCAAGGTTCATTAAACAAAACATTGCATATAAATAAATGTAATTAACCTATGCGCTAGATTTTTGAATAATCTTTGTTTTCATGTGTCAAATTTTAGATTTATAGATTGTAAGGGACCTTGGAAGATCATTGGGTCCAGCACCCTGCACCAAGCAGGAAAGATAACTGGGGTCAGGTGACCTCAGCAAAGTGACTGTCTAGTCTCCTCTTGAAGATTTCCAGGGTAGGTGATCGCACCACCTCTGGAA